AACATCTTTTTCGGTATTATAAATATAAGGAGAATGCTCACCTATCCACGTGGACACATATTAATACGCTCACGCTTATGCGACATGCACACATTGGTGATGTTAATATGTTCAAAAAAATACATCACCAATGTGTACATGCCACATAACGGTGGACATATTAACATGTGTCTACCGTGAGTATGGGAACATTATTGATAAATATAATATATATAATTGCCTACATTCTGAGTGAAAGAAATTAAAAGGGTTTATTCATTCTGAATTTTTAGATCACTTTTATCAGTGACTCAATCACTAGAAAATTGAAAAAAAAAAAAAGATTAAAGGAAAAATAAAAAGTCATGAAAAAATGTTCGAACCAGGTCACAATATGACCTTGAGTCGCAGCTGGCTATCAATCTGGGAATGAGACCAGTGTTCTCATTTCTATTGGACAACATGACAAGTGTATTATCTTAAATAAAATAAAAAATAATTTTTATTTATTTTGTGTAATTTATATTAAAAAAAACTAAACTTCATATTTTTCTATTATCTATAAATACCATTGTACGAAAAATCGATTCGGCGGCGCCTAGACAGGCCTAGGTACTCCTAAGCAGACTTGCGGCAATTTTTCAGTTTTCTTAATAATATTTATATTATTTTGTTATCATTTTTTTAAAATATAATACTATTATTATCATTTGGACTTAAGTGTGTAGATCTATTATAGTCTAGGTAGTAAAAATAAATAAATTAAAAAAAAAAAGATATATAATCTTATCTAAGCCCCGTCCCTCCCAGGTGCTCTAGTTGCTAGTTTGGAATATAATTGCAATTTCTCTATTTTCACTCTTTCCCTAATACTACTTTATTAGTTTTATCATTCCTTTTATTTTTCTTAATTTTCAACAAATATTTATGGATCCAAATTTTGAATAATCTCAACTCTCAAAATTTGTCAAAACTCTTAAAATTTTTGAAATTTCAAAAATGATTCACATGAGTTATTTTTTCCGAATTTAACTCAATTTTCTACTTCTGGAGAAGCCCAAAACTCATAAAACATTTTTCATATTTATTTCAAACATGCAACATACACGCATTTTTAATTGTTTAAGTAATTTTAATATTTTGTGTAAGCTTTTGTAATTTTAATTTTTAATTGGGTTTATATTTTTTTTTAATTGTATGGTAAAATATTAATTTTTTAAAATCATTACGACTTTAATTATAATATTAATCTGTCACAACTAAAATCATAACAAAATCTATTAATGTAGATTGATACATGATACCACCAAGTCGATTCGACCCGAGAAGCAGTCCAACAAAACCAGGGAAACCGACTGGTCGATTAGAGAGCAAAAACATGGAAGGTAGTCAGCGCACCAGGTCGATAGTAACTTAACAGTTAAGGAGGCTCATCAGAAGGTCGAGCTAGGGCCAGCGGATGGCATGATAAAAACTCAATCTGGAGGTATACAAGTCGATGAATCAAACTGAAGCGCAGTGTACGCGAGCACGACGAAGAGGCAATCTACCTCAAAAGAAGCTGAGTTGGTCGTATAACTAGACTGTCTAGTAAGGTTGACTAACAGATAATAAGTAATATAATTAAGATAAGAACCACATGTTGATTAGACCACATAGCCTAGCAGAATCCGATTGTTCGGGCACTTAGAGCAGTTCGAGAACTCAGCTAGCCCATCCAGACAGTTTTGGGCAACAAAGTAACATCCTTATATAAAAAGGTGATGTATGTATATTTACACTCTACACACTCTAATATACTTACAAGCTTATATATCTACTTGTCATCGTCTTCTTCAGTGGCGAAACCAGCCGGTCATCCCGGTGAGGGCCCAATTTACCGCGGCGTATCACCCTCACTTCGGCCATCCCGCGGCGCACCAACCCCACTCCGGCATCGGAAGGGCGCTCAAAGGACTTTTGTGGACGCTCTCAAAAATTTTCGCAGGATATAAAGGAATACTCTAGAGATTTTTCTAAAAATCAAACTAAATCCGGAATTAAACTGGTATACTTAAACTGAATTGTTTTAACTCGAAAAATACTCGAATTTATACTAAAATCTCGGACTCAATTATAATAATAATCAATAATTATACCTCCTTTCGAATAGACGAAAAGCTGAAAAAATTGAGAAAACGAAGCCTCGAACGATCGAACTCGTCCTCGACAAATTTGCTCCTTTTGATACTATTTAACGCAGAAATTCAAACTCCCATAATAAATGCTCGAAACTCCGAAAAATGCGAAATTTGTCCGTATGGAACCGTGCTTGAATTGTCTACACGCTCCAACTCGATTCTCGTTAAACCGAGGTCACATGCAACCTTACGGAACCCCGCAAAACGGCTTTTTATTCTTCTATTATGCGCACTCGACTTCGAGCTTCTCAAAATAAATGCTCGAAACTTCGAAACGTGAAATAAATTTTACGAACGGCTTCTACTGTTCTCGTGCTTTCAAGAAAACACACCCGCTAATTTTCAGCATGCATAACGAGGGTCGACGGTTACCCGAAGTCTAGACATGAAAATGACAATAAAATCACCGCCACTGCCATTTTTATCTCAACTTCGGGCTACCCAAAATAAATTGCCGAGACCTCAAAATCATAAATCGATGCCACCAACGCACTCTCCGCTTCCCGTACTTTCATATAAGTATTTTTCGACAATGATCGACTCGGTTTTTGAGTCCCGTCGGTACGCCGCAAGTCGGCTAATTAACCAACTCAAAATATAATAAAAATAAAAATATTATTAAATTTTGTTGTTGTTATAGTTCTCATTGTCCCGAAACCAGGATTCCGTTTCGGGGAGGACCCAATTTGCCTTTAAAAATAATTTTCACGACAAAACCGTGTTACACAATGTGTGTTTTGTATTACAACGGGAACCTATGAACTGACTGAAGTGTTCAGTTCGTACAAAAGAACTAAAACAAAAATTGAAATTACAACTCGAACGCGGAGAGATTTGAGCCGAGGCGATTGAAATCTATCCGCAAGACAAATACGCCCCGTGTAGTGGTGACGGGTTAGTGCGTAATGCCCCCAAAGATACAACGGCTTTAACACTCGGAAGCTGTAGCACAACAAC